AGTATTATTAAAAAATAACTACTATATAGTTACTAACTTTGGAGCAACATCTAGTAACGTGATCCCTTAATAAATTATAGATGTTTCGTTTCTCATGTGCAATGAACTTAATTGTTTTTGTCCAATGATTGCTTGACTTTAGTTCTGTGTGAGAAAATATTGCTATACTCGAAGTTCAGGTATTTGAAGATACCCTGAACGGACTCACTCTAAAGTGACTTGAGTCACTACAGTAGTAGCTACCTTTTATGGAAAAGTCGTGTTCGTGTGCCCCACAAAAGAAGAAAAAACAATTAATGCACGTGCATATACACGTATATCCCGTCGTCTGGCTGGCCACGCGACCGGCAGATGTTTTCCCCGTGTGTGTGTATGTAAACGCCTACTTTGACCATCGGTCTTTTCGATTTGGGCACGCTCAGGGGTGGGTATGAGAAAGGTTGAAATAGGGAATGTTTGTCTTCGCTGGGTGGGTTTATCAAAGTTTGTAGATATCAAAGGCGTGTGGTTGAGTTGGGCAATTTTTTTCAAAATCGTAACAAAATTGGAAGCAAAACGTTCTCTTTTTCTAACACTAAGCCAAGAAATGGGAAGATTTTGTACAAGTAAATCCTATAATTTTGGCGACAGTAAAATTTTTTCTTGGTATCTTCAGATTATTGCTTGCTAATGATAAGTTCAAATTGGCGTCATGATAGGGCTGGAGCATTTGCCGCAATTTGATAACCGCATTTGATCGAAAATCTAGAAAACCACCGATCGTATGTAAAAACGTAATGAAAACAATTTTGTAGGGAATTAAATTCTTCATAATTTTGCTTTGCTATAAAATTGTATGGTGATCAGATTACGAGAAATTGAAGGATAAATCTATGTATAATGATAATTCTGCTTACAATGACTAAACTACTAATTACTAACTATTTTACGTTTTTAATGGTCCTTCAAGTATACAACACTACGTGGACATCATCATAATCCATGATCAAAAATACCATTTTAAAGTGACTCAATTTTCTTACTACCACGTGCAAGTGAAATGGATTTTTCTTTGATCATTTGTGATATTTTCATTATGAAGATCAAGTCGCTCACTTCCATCAGTCTGTCTGTCTGTTGGTAATTTCAGTAAACGTTGCTGCGATTTGAATGGAAGGGGAGATGTAGTGGATAACGCTGGTTATGGCATCACTCCCTTCCCATTAAAATCGTTGCAACGGTGGCTGAGGCTACGCAGTGGCAAAATGGCAAATAGACTGATAAACATATCAAAGAATATTACTAAGGTAATGGATTCACTCTAAAATAGTATTCCTGATCAACCATTTATTAGGACGTGTAAAAATGTTGTATGCTGACATTTGGACCCACGTACGTACCTGATTTGCGGAGTATGCCGCGAGACTGTTTTGACTCGAATTTTTGACTTTAAGAACCATCAGTGTGTCGAAAAAAAGTAAAATCCGTTTTTGTAAAAAAGTTTAATCTCTACCAAAAAGGATCACAGTGTTTATACGCCTAAGTTGTTAGTTTAACCATCAAAAGCCAAAATATCATTGCATGTACATTTACCCTTAAATTTCTCGTAACCTGTTTAATATTAAAACTTGTCCTTCATAAGGTGACATGGTTAGATTGTCCTTCCATGTACTGTCCTTTTGCTTCTTGTATCAGATAATGTAACATTTGTTTGAATTTTATAATCACGTAATGAGTAACTCTTATATGTATGACTTATGACTTTAGGTTATACGTTTTCGTAATGTATGGATGAAATCCGCCGTTTCTGATAGTATCCCTGACATAAATACGAGGTCTGTAAATTAAGTAATGAGACTGACAACGTAGCGTTCGATCTGGCAACACTGGGGGGAACAGGCTTGCAGGGGCTGCAGGGGAACCAAGTGATCTGCCTTCAGTACAAATTTGAACTCGCTAGAGTCAATTGGTTGTCCGAAGCGCTTTTTTTGTGAAGCAGTCCTGTCTAAGCTCGCGACTGGACAAGCTTGTGTAGCTCTTAGTCGTGTAAGATCTTTAGACGGTGTTCAGATTGAAGAACTTGATTGCTTTAACAGAAAAAAATCCATGCAGCAATGCAGCTTTAAATGAGATGATTAGATTACGAGGTGATTCGTAAGACATTTCAATACCACATGCCCGCAAAAAACTAATTGATAAATCGAACAAAAAAATGAAAAGTAAATAGTAGTTTGAAAAAACTAAAAAAACACGTTTTTATAGATGACCGAACTAAAAAGTAGAAAATAATGTTTAATTACAAAGAGTTTATACTACAGTAGTAGATGGTCGAACAATCCATCATAATAAATGACCTCAAAATAAAATTATAATAAGATTTAAGTTATTAATAGAATAATTCAATTCGGAGTAAAAAGCGTGGGGTGCATTTAACTACATTTTTATAACTCTCCTCTCTTAGATAATTGCCAATAGAATGATTGTAACGTTTAATATATCAAGCACCCCACGCTTTTTACTCTGACTTGAATTATTCTGTTAATTAGTTTAAATTTCATTATAATTTTATTGTGCGGTCATTAATTATGATTGATTGTTCGACCATCTACTACTGTAATATAATCTCTTTGTAATTAAAATTATTTTCTACTTTTTATGTTCGGTTAGCTATAAGAGCGTGTTTCTAAACTATTATTTATTTTAGTTTTTGAAATAGCAAGGGACAACGCTATATCTATAAATTCATGTACAGCACGATCTTGTTGCTGCTAGGTATATTATATGTGGTTTTGCAGCCTGATATTTGTCAAGATTTCACTTATTGATAATATTTCTTGCTTCTTTATTTCATCAATAAAACCCTATGAAGTGCCCATTTCTCCAGCACTGTTCACCCACATGGCAATCCATAATCCTGTAGAATAAATCCGTACTTGGTCATTGGGCTCGGTCCATAGGAACAGCTGTACAGGCTGTTTTAAAAATGGCTGGCAGGTGGTGTAGAATCATCAGCGAAATCACATACATACGGAAAATCACTTTATATCAACCACCGGCCCCAAACACCGGGCCACTACTTTAAATGGTCGTGCTTACAGAATCTGAACAGATGCTGACCTGTTTACATTTTCATTACATTTCAGCATGCAAACTTAAAAACTTGCAAATTATTTTTAGTACTCTGCTGAACTGACAGCTTTAAAATACCTAAGCGCCCGCTAAAGTCAGGTAACATTCGAAAAGCCATGCTAATTGTCCTTTTTCCACATTTTTTAAAATCTTGAAAAATGTAAAATAAACAATGAGCCAATACATTTGTATTACTAAAATCATAGTCTAGTCCTATGTAGAATTAATCTGCTTATTCAGTACTATATCACTTCTGCCATTACATCGATATAATTTTTTGCCGCCTGAAATGCAAACTTTATAGCTGGGAGAACCTTCTTCGGAATGGATTTTTATTTGCTTAAAATATTCATTCATGTTGTGAGGGTTGTTTCCTGAAAGGGGTGCTAGTCAGTTCCGGTTTCATGCACTTGTACAGGATACAGCTAATTATTTTTTACGATTAAGGAGGGGAATATTTAAGTATAATTTCGACGCAAACAATACGTCACTCGATATATTCTCTTTATGGAGCTTTGACCATACTTAATCAAATTCAATATAGTTATTTCATGTTTGATCAAGCTCTATATAGATCATTTATTTGATGTTGAGATCAACTGTTCGGAGCCTTGTGGAACCCCTATATTATTCGTCATCGTTCTTTGGAAATTGCTATCATACAAACTATAAGGTATTTTTTGACGTCTTAAGGTACGTGTCCATTTGATAGCAACTGTCGCGACTTCTCGCGACATTTACTTTTATTGGCGTATCCAGTTGAGAGCAATTTCAGTTATTTAAACTCTCAGTTAGAAAATCCACTTGAGATAGTGGTTTATTCCTTTCCGTTCTCTAGTAGTGAACTGCCATTGTAGTGATTGCCATGATAGTAAATTATTTCGATTTAAAATGACCTTAATCATGAATAAACAAAAGATTGCGTCCCTTATTATTGCATATACTTTACTGAAAAGAAAAAAGAAGCAGCAAAGGAAAAGAAGTTGTTGGGTTAAGCCGTGGATTCAACGAAGGTCTGAATTAGGAGCATGTTCTACACTAACTCAAGAACTGAAGCTTGAAGATACCCAGCAATTTCGAAACTTAGCTCTAATCTTAATATACATAAAAACATGCCAAAATATTTGTATATTACAGGCGAATCGTTTTCTAGTCTCCAATATTTATTTCGTATTCCTAAGTGCACAATTGGCAGGATTGTTAAGGAAGTAGCACGTGCTATTACCACCCTGAAGCACCAACAAATAAAGGTAAGAAGGTAAATGCGTTATCAATAAAGTCATGAATCTCTTAAATAGTTATTTCTGTAACAAGTGCGCCAAATCAGTGATGTTTTTAATTACGCCTGATTGTTGTTTTTTTGTCCGCGATGGGTAGATTGGGGCCCAAAAAACACGATTTAACGACGAAATTCCTTACAAGCAATATTTTTTCTACAACTGTCATAAAATAATTTTATATAATCCATTCGATTCGGAAACAAATTCGACTAAATTAACACATTAATTTTTTGTTGATACAATTGTGGAAAAAATATTATTTGTATTTCGTCTTTCGTGGCAAAATCGTATTTAAGGGCACATTTATGTGAATTTTGGACCTCAAACTACCGGTCTCGGCCAAAATATATTCTCATGTGCGATTAAAAAACACTAATTTTGCGCCATTAATATAAAAATAACTATTATGCGCGTGGCATGCTTTTTATGTTTGCTAATGGTTTTACTTAGTCTTAGTTATTTATTTTATGGTTACAGAACAGCAAACAATTTGCATTTATTTTATGAGTCAACTAATAGTCCTGAACACGAAAGGCTAAGTTAAATCTCGTAAACGACAAAGCTGAAGACAAAATCAGAGCGACCGTTGTACGTAAAGAAGAAAAAATTTTACTGCGTTTATTTGTTACACTATATTATACAAAATAACTATAAGTCTTCATAGGTAATGGTATTAACATATTCTCTTGCTGAATATACAGCTTCTTCAGTCGATACCGATTCTGATGAGAAACAAAATGAGAGTGCAGGAGAAGGCATCGGCGTAGAAACTGTTGCTGGTATAATGCAGGCAGAGTTGGAATTGTAAAGCTCCTCATCAACAATACGGACAATTACTTTGCGAATTTTGACATATTGACATCCGATTTGAAAGTTCTTAGTTCTAATGCTACATACTGCCCAAATTGGTCAAACTCATCCGGCTGTTTTTGCATGTTTTCTAAAGCCCTTTTGAAGAGTTGATCGTCAACCTCCTCTCGCTTACGTTTTTTGGGTGCCTGAGTTGTTGGTTGTTGGTCTGTTTTCAATTTTAGTTTCTTCCGGAGTTCCAAACTCCTCGATTTTATCCGATTTTTCTACCTAAAATAAAAATAGCTAACTAAAATAGTTTTATTTTATACACCTCAAAGTATTTTGTCTTTTCAGTTCCCAAAATATCCAGACCAATGGCTTCGACATTCTGAAGCTTTCAATAGAAGATGGAACTTCCCCCATTACCTAGGTGATTTAGATGGCAAACATATTGTTATGCAAGCACCAAGAAATAGCGGAAGTTATTATTACAACTACTGTATAAAGGTTATACAGTATTGTTTTATTAGCCGTCGCCGATGCAGAGTACAAATTTTCGTACGTTGACGTTGGATGCAATGGTAGAATATCCGATGGAGGCGTGTTTAATAACTGTTTGTTAGTTGATGGGCTAGAGAGGGGTCTTACACATTTACCCAATCCTCAATCTTTGCCTAACAGAAGAATGCTTGTTCCGTATTGTTTTGTCGGCGACGACGCTTTTGCGATGAAACCGTATATTTTAAAACCTTATCCATTTCGTGATCAACCTGTCCCAAATTGAATTTTCAATTATCGATTATCCAGAGCTCGTCGAATTGTCAAGAATTCGTTTGGGATAATTTCAAGCAAGTTTCGAGTTCTTCGAAAAACCATGAACCTAGATCCGGAAACTGTGACAGATATTGTTCTGGCGATCTGTACTCTACATAATTTTTTAATACAGTCCAATTCAAACTATTTATTACCGGGATTAGTTGATGCTGAAGATGAAGGAACTCATGAAATTATACCAGGTAACTGGCGGAAAGAAAATGTTTCTGAAAATGTTTTTCCGTCACTAAATAGGGGGAATTTGAATAACTATAAACCATCCCAAAAAGAAGTAAGAGATGAATTCAAGAAGTATTTTATGACGCCAGCTGTATAATGTAAATATATAGCAATAAAATATATTTCTATGGAGAAATTTTTTCCTCTTCTCTTCATTTGTGGGAATCGACAGTTTTGTCACATAATGCCATATTATTGATAGATTTTTAAGCCTTCTTATGATTCAACTACTAAAAGATATAGTAATAACCCCCAAAAATACTGAAGTTATATGTTATTTCCATTAAACTCTTTCGCTTTTTTCTCAGCTTAGTATAAACAAAGAGATTGTAAAGGATAGGGATATAAAAACCAAAAATAAAAAAAAGATAAATACTAATAGCTGAAGTGAGCAAAATTCATTGCGTCTACCGACTCGGCTTAAATAATACAACTGTGTTTACTTACACCATTGAATGATGTCTTCGTTAAATTCATCGAAGACTTTGTATGACTAGTACTAACAATTGGTTTCAGAAATTTGAGAGCGTCAAAGTATGGCCATTTGCTGATATAAATTTCATCCGCTCCGCTTCCGCTTTTTAGAATCTCTGTCTTCTTCAGTTCTTGAGACATCTGGAATTTTACTTGAATATTTATATGGAACATTCAGTCCTTAAAATGCTATACCAACTATACCCGATTCCTTAAATTGTGTAATTTTCATTGAATCTCTTCAGAAGTGCAACCGAGATTTCCTGCAATTCCCGATAATATTTTATTTTTCTTCTCTCTGTTCCTATACTCATTATTTTTAGTATCCCACAGGACAGAATTTTCTTCATATATAGACAAATCGAATTGTTTATATCATCTTTTGACCAGTCTTTTTTAGCGGCCATTATGTTTCAATTCCAGTAAATAATGTAAACAATCGCTGCGAGAACAATCACAATTCGAAACGTATTCGTATGTTGCGAGTTACTCTCCAATGGTGGTATTAACAGTAGGGGAGCCCAAGCGACGATTTCGGGATTTACTAAAGCGCGGCAGATGAATATACAGGAGTAAACCTTGTACCCATTTAAGTACTTCCACCAAATATGAGCCCCTTATATATGGTCGCCCGTCAAGGATAAAGGATCAGATCAGTAAAAAAAATTGATCATCTGAAATTCTAGAGCGCGTCAGATTAAAGTAAGGTGAGTTAGTTACATGCTAAAACATGTATATTCGACTAATCTGACAATTTGAGAGTGACGCAGAGAGGAGGGAGGGCTACAAAGTTGTAAAAAAAAACGGCAACTCGACATTCTCGAGCGTGGAAAATTTTTTTTTATTTTGAAGGGAATAATTCAAGGGTTACGAAAAATATATAATCTGGCGATTTTCACAAGCCGAAGTAATAAAAATGAATCGATAAAGTTTAATGCGTGCAGCTACAGGATGCCTATATTCCCCTCTCCGCGTTTCTATTTCTCTCTCACTCTTTCTCTATCTGTTACTGTTACGCACAAGATTCATTGCATGGATGTGGAGTAATGCCCACAATGCAAAAATTATTGATTTTTTGCCAACGGACTATGGTTGGAAAGAAGTCAATGGAAAGTTAGAAATGATCTGGTTTGCAGGTGATCAATTGCCGAAAGCGTATGAAGATGTAGTCGTAACACCTGATATTTTTGAGGATACTCCAGAATTAGGTATATTTGTTCTCCTATAATTAAAAAACACGTTATTCATAAGAACAAATATTACTAAATATGTTAATGAATTTTTGTTACAGATACGCAATCTGAAGATGAAATCGAGCCAGATGAGGAAGATGATTCTACCGATAAAGATGATGATGATGAAAAAGTACTCAAAAAAATATAATTATTTATAATTATTTTTTATAATTACAAGTATTCTACTTAAAAAACATGCACTTTTTTTTATTTGCATGCTATTTCCCGACATTTTCAATTAATTAAGTTCAATGATTAAAAAAAATAAAATATTTTTTTTTTAATTGTCAAATTCAGGTAATCGTCAGATTGTGAGTCTAGGGCATAAAGATGAACCATATATATCTTAATCTGATGCGCTTGAGTATTTCAAAATGACGAATTTTTTTTGCACATTCTAATAATGACCGCGAGTCACATCCAAATCATCAGATTATTATATAAGAGTTTTCTCTTAGGTTCACTTAACATCCCCTTTGAAAATCTGATGCGGTCGATTAAATTTTTTTTTTCGTTTTCAACCCGTTCGTACGACCACCCCCATGATGGAAACAATCAGATTAACATACGAACATTTTTCAAAATACATAGGACATGGATGATATCAATGTCTGACGCGCTCGAGTATGTCCATGCAACAGGTTTTTTTTACATTTTTAAAATCTATATCCGCTCCACCCACCGATGAAAAGGTATACCTATATTATAGGACATTTAGGTCTCTATGACGCTCGAGTAAATCCCGATTTAGCATCGTGGGCTCCCCTACTATAATAAGTATACACTTGAGAGGAGAATTAAGCATCCCACAAACCGGCGCGAAATAATCGCGGCGAAGTATTCGCAACGAAATTCAAAGCGAAATTCGCAATCTGTTTCGCCTGTTTTTATTCATACCAAAGCGTCTTATTCGCTCCGCGAACGTGAAGGTTTCGACAGGTTGCGTACATTTTATTTTTGCCTTTTGCAATGAGCTCGTCTTCAGAAGAAGAGGAGGCACTTCTATTTCTTGCTTTAGAAGAGGAACAAAATGCACGGTAAGTTTTGTTTATTTAACGCCATTTGATAGTTGGGTATGTATTAAGTTTAACGAAGTACATAAAACAAATATTTTCAATTTTGTTTAGGAAACGAAGGAAGTGGGTACATGATATTAACTTGGAACGAAATAAATTTGGGGAATACCATACCTTGTTGCCACAACTTCGGCTGGATGAACAGCGCTTTTATGTATATTTTAGAATGACTCCAGAGTGTTTCGATGAAATATTGAACTTGGTGAAAGATGAAATACGAAAATCTGACACAAATTATCGTGAAGCTATTTCGCCAGAAGAACGACTTGCTATTACACTCAGGTAAAAAAATTATATGTATTAAAATTAGTAGGCTTATCAAATACGAAATAATTGTACTACATATTGCCACTAGGATTAAATGTTGCTAAATAATTCGAGGCAGAATTTGCCTCCTCTGTTGGGTATATTATTGGAGTAAACCCAGTGCCGCTTGGGAAGGACGACATACTACTATCATACATACTTGCAGAATTCTGGGTAGACGCTGAAGACATTTCTTCAATATGTTCAAATTCTTCGTGCGCTATTAATTCGGCTATTTTTAGTTTTATTCGGGCTTGACGCTTTAAGGGAAGTGTTTTCACAGTCTGTGCATGTGCCAAGAAAAGTGAATCAATGGCCTCGTTCTCTTTTTTAGGTTTTTTACCTTCAAAATAATTAATGAGCTGTTGTACAGACGAAGATGGTGGTTCATAGCGTTTTCTGCTCGTTTTATATTTTGGTGTAGTTGCAGTCTGCGGAAAGGTGTGCCCTGGAGTAGTCACTGCTGTAGTGTTCAATGAAGAAGGTGGTGCTGTCTGTGTTGCCGAGGCGTTCTGTGCATCTTCTGCATCTATACATCAGCATTTTCATCTTCTCCATGGCCGCGGTCTTCCAAATTTTCGGTTTCTACATTTCCAGCCCTTTCCTGATATATATTTGAGTTAAATTCGGCAGTCTCATAATGTATGACGTCAATATCTTTCACATTAGACGACGTTTTGGCAAATGCCAAAAAAGGACGGAAAAATTCCATGTAGTCAGCCCACTGCCATTTCTTTATGTTGCCCACTGCTTGGCCGGTCTTTGGTTTGGTAGATTTTATATATTTTGCAAATGTGTCTCTGATATTCTTCCACCTTTTTTTTACTTGATCACCTAAAAACGATTTTTTTTATAGATTCCTTGCCACTGGTGACACCTTCTATACCATTGGGCATAGCTTTCGAGTTGGCTTTACAACAGTGAGTGCAATCGTAACCGAAGTCTGTGAAGCGATATGCAGACATATGGAACATATATATTTACCAGAACCAACAGTGAATATATGGAAAAAATGTGGTGAAGAATTTGAAAATAGATGGGGATTTCCCAATTGCATTGGCAGCGTGGACGGTAAACATGTAACAATCAAGAGACCTAACAACAGTGGCTCCAATTACTGGTGCTATTTACATAAATATTCAATAGTACTTATGGCCATTGTTGGCCCGGACTATAAATTTATATGTGTTGATATTGGTGGTTTCGGAAAAAATAGTGATGGGGGTATTTTCGAAACCTCAAACATGGGAAAACGATTTGAACAAAATTTAATGAGTGTCCCTGAACCTAGATTTCTCCCTGGGCAAAATGAAATCTGCTCGTACGTCTTAATTGGTGATGAAGCATTTGCTTTAAAACCATACCTTATGAGACCATTTCCTTATAAGCAGACTTTAGCAGACGTCAGAAAAGAGAAATACAATGTAAGACTTTGTCGAGCTAGAAGGGTCGTGGAAAATGCGTTTGGTATTTTGTCTCAAAAATGGCGAATATTTTACAGGCCATTAGAAACTAAAGTAGATACTACTATTCTAATTGTACGTACGGCATGTGTTTTACACAATTTTTTACGAAGTAAAAGTGGCGATGACAAATATTTTCAATTCTTAGATCCCCTAGAACCCGTGCTTGGAGCTTTTACTGATATAGCAAATGATCCTCGGCGGGCAGCAAGGCTAGCATTTTCTACTCGTGACAAATTCGTAAATTATTTTAATTCTGATATGCCTATGCCCAATATATAGAATGTTCGTTTTCACATTTGTGTAGACTGTAAATTACTTAACAAGTTAATAAAAAATATTAGGTACATACCATTTGTATTTAATTCTTTTCCTATTTCCATCCAAATCTTGTCTTTCTTTCTCACATTCCTGTATTCATCGTTTAACAAATCATACAATCAAGGATACTTTTTCACTATTTCTATCAATAATTCCGTTTTTGCTATTGCGAATTTTTGAAGAACGGCGTCAAAAACGCGGTCAAAGGCGAACTGAAATACGCCGCGATAAAAACGCTGGAACAATCGCATTCGCTTCGCACAAGTCTGAGCCTGTCCGTAAACCGCCGCGTTTTAATCTGATCGCGAATTCATGGCCGCGAAATTTTCGCAGTCAAAGCGAATATTTCGCGCCGGTTCATGTGATGCTGAAGAGTCCCTGGGCGACAATGTCGAATTAATCGCAGTCGCTGCGAAATATTCGCGTCGGTTTGGGGGATCCTTAATAACTCTCAGACGTGTATCCATTTACGAGACATGCTCTCGAGAGGTACTCGCGAAAGTTTTTCTCGCAAATGGACACCTACCATTATGATGTCTCTATCAGCCTTTGTATGCTATTGTATATGCTACACAAAAATGGCCCCACGACCGGTCTTTGAGGACTTACCATTGTTATTTGCGGTATTTTACCGTAGGAAGTAGTAAGAGTTGTGCGGGGTATAATTCTAAATAGTTAACGGTTCTAAATAGACAACAGTTTATTTTATTTTATGTTCTTTGAAACTTCCAATCATACAAACTATAAGGTACTTTTTGATATTACATGTTGTCTTTATCAACCTTCGTACGTTGTTGTATATGGTCCACAGACATGTCCTTGTGGAACATCTATATTTGCGGTCTCTAACCGTAGGAACTAGCAAGAGGTGTGCAGGCTTTAATTCTCAATCTATTTTTATTTCTGTAAAAAGCAAGCATATAAAAAGATTAATGTTTAGCGTTGAGGATAGTTACAAGATTCATTAGCCTTAAAATCTCGTCATTAACGCCGAAAATAAAACTATTCCAACATACGAGTATACATTCATTTCGAGCCGTTGATTTTTTAAATAGAACAGGGAAACGTATTTTGGAGAAAAAATATCACTCTGATGAGTTATTTAAAGATATCAAAAGTCTCTTGCGGCGAAGAAAGAATAATTTATATGTAATAATTTCTGCTTTAGATCACTAGACAGTACTACAGCAAATGTGAAAAATCTCTAAAGCGTCACATAACGTAAATTACATTTATGTATAATTAAGGTACTATGGTTGCCATGTTTAAAACCGAATGTATACTTGTTCCTTTACTTAAGGCCTCTGAGGAAGCCTCATTTACCTTGACAATTCGACAAATGCGAATTATAGGAGGACTGTCAAATATTTTTCCCAAGGAAAAGGAGGCCTTGTCCGATCTGAGGCTTCTCTCTCGCCATGCATTGTCGTCATCTTCAAGGCTTCCACAATCTCGATACCATAGGAACAAAGAGGCGGTCATATGGGCCCGTTCTGGATGGACGAAGTTCGACACGGAAGGCGGATCCGTCTGGCAGGCTCATCGCGGGGCGGCATCATAGAGGAGAGCTCGCTAGCGTAGCGGTAGAAAAGAGTTAGATCGCCCTAGACTATCCGTTAGAAAAGAGTCATCAATCAGTCGGACATCCCTTCTCTGAACATTATCGAGCATGGGTAATGTAGTCGGGGCGGTAGCACCCCAAACATGCGAGCAGTATTCGAGGATAGGTCTTATCTGGGCCTTGTACAGAGTGAGGAGAACAGTACTTCTTCCCAGCAGCTACCACTATTGACTATTTTGGTTATGTCTACAGAAGACCCATTAGCGGGATTGATAATGTATTAATAGACTAAGACCAAAACATTGCGATATACCCTCACCCTCAAATAGGTGGTCAAAGTGACTATCAATCTGTGTAGTTGAAATACACAGTATGTTATTACAAGAAGGCACTGCAAAGCAATGATGCTTTCTATGAAATGTTTCGCTGGTAGGCGGGTAACACCAAACTATACCCTATTTCACGAGTATTCATCACGCTTTGACGTCTACTGAGGTGAACATCTGATCAGCATGTGACATTTTTGTGTTAGTCTGCAACGTTGGCGTATAGGTAAATCTATAGTTAAATATTTGTTTGTGGCGTTTTGTTTTTTGTATGCAAAACTTTTCTAAATAAAAGACCTGTGAGCAAGTACAAAATTAATCTGTAGTGTACAAAAAAAACAAAACAAATACAGCTCGGACTACCTGGCGTTGACCGATCCGTCAGAATTTTGTGTCCTGTGCCGATATGAGAATTTTGAGACATTACTAAATAATCAGCTGTCATTCTACCGTGATGGATACTCGTGAAACAGGGTATAGTGTTGTCGGTTATGCTCTCTATAACGCTCTGGCTATGTATAGCTTGATATATCAAATACTCTTCATAAAGTAAGCATTCGTATTTGATACTTGAAAACAAAAAATGTATTTCAATTACTGCACAATTTTACTTGGAATACTGTCTGGCAATTTTTACCATTTCTGGCACCATTCAATTATGATTAATTTTCGCTGATACATTATCATCCATAAGTGGCATGACAACACTGTGTATGGATTATGAAATGAGCACTAACGGAAGTAAGTAATATCATGTGAACGTGTCGTGTTCCGAGCACATCAACGTCATCCTACCGTTACACTTTTGACACTTTGACACAGTGCTGCTAGACGTACGAGCTGAGGGAGAGTCCGTCTCCAAAAAGATCACAAGAAAAAAAATATTCAGAAAATCAATCGCAAGGGCACTCAGAAGCAGAAATCGAGTACTGGATTGAAGTATTTCATACTTGAAATACATTTTTAAAGGAAAAGTACTTAACGTTTATCCTTGCGGTGAAAAATACCAAGTAATTAATACTTGAAATACTGTTCACCGTTATTTTTGACGCCCTGGACCACATCCATCGTTTACGCAACTGAGTTTTCAATTGTTTACGTCAATATTAGCGGAGCAAGTTTAAGAGTTTTCTAACTTCACAGATACAGTTTTTCCGTTAAATGTGTCAAAAAAAGCTTGTGTTGCCAGCTCAGCAATGCCTATGTTCCTGGAAATTATCCATAATATACAGAAGGTCTCAAATTCGTCCCTCACCATTGAGATCTGTAAAAGATACAAAGTCGCTTAAATGGATTAAATAGGAGCAAAGTTGCATTTTTGGGTAATTAATAAAACGCTGTTTAGAAAGTTTCGAAATTCAAGTACTTCCGAAGAGAGACCCGAAAAAACCGAATTTTCCCAAAATCGCTACATTGTCTTCCTGTCTTTATTTGAGATAGGATTTCAAAATAACTTGCATGCTAGCATTGTTACTTATTCTCCTCTACAAGACGGCGTCGTAAAATTTTGAAAACGAGGTTCCTTTTTGAAGTTTGTTTTTTCATATGGACGTTTAATTGGAATTTTGTACAATTAAATGGGCTTCATTGTCCGAAACTCAGTGATGTATTTACTTGATTGGCAATGAATTTGTTTTTGGATGAAAATTATAAGAAATTAAAAATTTATGGTAAAATTTGAGCACAAAAAGGATATTTTATTGATGGTAATAATAATAATAATAATAATAATAATAATAATAATAATAATTTTAAATAAGCAGAGGTAAATCATAGCAGATGTTCAAAATGTTATTTTATAAGCAAAGACTGACTCTTCTCTATACATTGCTCACTGCACGATTTATTTCCCTTCTTCTCAATCATCCAAACTCTATTAGTATCTATGTTCAATTTGGGGTCTCGTCTTGTATACGAAACAAATAACTACCTCATAATTTCAAGGCCTACCTAGGAAATTCTGTGTTTCTAAGAGAACTGAGGTTTTGCAGTGACAATGTATGTCATATTATACATTTTTTAAATCAGAATCAAAAATCTCTCTATTTATCTGCGCAAAAATTGAAAATACCGTCCATAAAATAAAATAAAGTTAATGATGGAGGTCAAGAGATGAAATGTCATATTGAAATTCTAATTATGCCATCTTGTAGAAGTGAAAAAGTGGCAATGTTAATGTGCAATTTATTTTTAAATCCCATTACACATAAAGTCAGGAAAACTTTATAAGCGACATTTTTTTAAACTAGACTACGGACTCCAGGGAGGAATCACGTATGCAAGCAATATGCACATATTCTGGCCCCGCCTTAGTGATCCGCCGAGTGGTACCTCCGCATTCGACAGTCACAAACCGTCTACCACTTACACCATTCCACGGGCGCGTTTTGCTGATTAGCTAAATATGCAACTTTGCCCCCACTTAAGCAACACTCTTACAGTTTCCGAGATACCAATGGTGAGGGTCGAATTTGAAACACCCGGTATGTATGAGAAGAAAAACCCTTCGGGTGTGTCGACCACATCCGTGAAGAGGCCCCAGCTAGGCGAGTGTAGGGGCAGCTTATTACGGCACCTGGCGTTAAGGAATTTCTTAGTTTTGTGCACATGTCGGGCAGATGGTCATGAAAACTGGTGTAGCATCGTGGGTTGTGCCTTTTAATCTGTTCGACATGCGACCAATGGTTTGCTGGCGTTACATCCATACATTTCTCGAGGTGACCAAAGGGTGAATGATACCTGCGTTATTCATGATATGGACGCGTGCATCTTGCAGGGTAAAAGCAGATGGTTCTTCCAAGTTTACCTTGAGCACAAGTCAGACATATGGCCAAAAGCTTCGATAAGGTGGATATTTTTATTCTACAGGGTATATCAATACTGCAGGATGCTGGCTGGTTACTTATATTTTGTAAACTTATCACTGCATCGCCTTTCTACGTGAAAGATACTCGCGGCCGTCTGTTAAGTATGTGTCACCGATCAGTCGGATAGCCCTCTTCTAAACCAGGGGGTACCCAGCGGGGCAAAAATTAGATGAAGAGAACAGTTTTTACAAACATGAAAGTATGCATGTACAGGGTTCTCCACAAGCTGAATCAATATTTATTAGATGAGAAATTACTAGGATTCGTTGAAATTTTAGATGTAAACTTAATTTTGCTAAAAGCATTATACGGTGAGATTCAAATCTAGTTGACGTCGTCATGTGTACAAGAGAGGAGCGCCAGAAGCGTGCAATATGCGTTAGAAAGAGTGCGCTGATAGCATCCGTAACCTCGTACTAGGGTTGCTAGGCAACGAGGTACTTCGGTCTCTTTTGACACACGTATTGCACGCTTCTGGCGCTTCTCTCTCGTACACATTATGGCGTCAGTGGTATTTGGTTTTCGGTGTATATGTTATACGTGTGTTTCAAATTCGAACCTCGCTTTTGGGATCTCGGAAAACGGTCGATTTCTACATAACATTATGCATCAATAATTACTGACGTCCAGGGTACACGGTCAATAAACTTCACATCTTATGGTAAATATATTTACGGATCACAGAAAATACTGATACTTGTCACATTCGCCTAAATGACACGGAGTACTTTATGAGGGCAAGTTGCGTAGGTAAATAATAAATTGAACTTGGAAAAATTGGAAATACAAAGTATTTCCGAATTTACTCTAAGTCGTTTTTATTTTTTCTGACTTAAGACCGAAACAAAAGTTCTCAAACATCCACATAATAACAAATTACATAACAATACTACTTTTTCTCTTCTACACGGTGGCATAATTAGAATTCCGATCTGACGTTTCAGCCTCAGTTTCTTTAAATTATACCGTCTTCAATATCTTCAATAATAAAAATATGTTGTTCCTCATTCGATGAGCTTAAACCAACAATATGAAGTAAAGCTCTTGAAGTTTAATGTCAATACGTAACATGTGATCATCTTCTATATTCTATAGAATAAATGACTATATGATCATTTCAACGCTTACAATTTTTTTATAGTACGTATGGCATACATAAGAAAAATCAGAGTTGAGACGGGGGAAAAATTACCAAAAATCATATTAATGTCCTATTTATGCTACCTTGCAGAGATCAAAAAGTGGCAATGTTATTGTGCAGTTTATTTTGAAATCCTGTCTCAAATAAATTCAGAAAAAAATCGTTCTCCTTTCCGTGTACCTCTGGAGATACTGGAAGCGTCAAAACTTTTCAAATGCATTTTCTAAAATATATACCATAAATACGCAACTTTGTCACTTTGTCAGGGTAAAAATATGAAAAATTTGTTTTTCAAATCATTCTTGGACAAATTAGGCACATATCCTTCTACATATTCTATAAAACTATTTTTGGCTATATCGCGAAATTTCAAGATATTGTAGAAAAAAGACGAATAATTATTTATCGACAAAGAAAAAATATTTCCGGCATTAGTATGATATGCTATATATCCGGCTATATCAAAACAAAACATCTCCCTTTGAAGCGACATACTAGAATTTGCTAAAAGGTGCACGGTTTTTTATTTGAATACAAATCGGTTTTGCTGTCATGCCGGTATGAACCACTCTCATTATGTTTCATAGTAATGGAGATGTTGTGTAATTAGATGCCTAAGACTTACCCTGTATATCTAATTTGTTGCAGCAGTTATGTCACTGGGTACCTTCAGAATTGAAGACTTTTTTGATGTAAATCATTACAAAGGCTTATGCACTTTTCGGCAAAAAATGAACGATGTTTTGCAATAATCAATTAACTTTTGCAACGAACTGGACATATCCACTTTGAAGGTGTTTTCATCCCTCTCCCAATTATTCTACAGACAAAACGTTAACCTTTGAAAAAAAGTTACTAAGAATGTTCTATTTTACATTCACTCTAAAAAATACATACCTGTAAATCCTTTACAATAGGGTTCACATTTGACTAGTTAGTCTGATCGAATAAGTTTCTCCATTTTTCAACGCAGATTTCGCGACACATATTTTAGAATTTCACATCTCATGTTGTGTTTGGAGTTATACAAAAGTGACTGAATGTTGAGAATTTGACAAACAAGTTTTGCCTGATTTTACATACTTTGAATCCTTCAAATAAGCTCTTGACTACGTCTTAACATACATCAACAAAGTTTTTCATCTTTTTGATGTTTTCTCTTGTAAGGAAATTTTTGATTGCGTTCAAAATCATAAGAAACGAAAAGATGATAAAGTCAAGTTTGAGGGAGTTACACATTTTTTGGGCATAATACTTGTACCATTAGAGAGGCCTTTACCAAAGTTTCTTCAAAATCCAATGATACTTTCCAAATTATAGAAGGACCAATGATTAATAAGTTTTTTTCTGACGATTGCTCTATCGCAACAGGACCGATTAACAAAAACAATAAATCTGTCTATAATAGTGCCAAGAATTACATGACTAACGCCACAGAAAATGTAACTGCTATGTTATATCTGAAAACTATTTGAAGTTTTTTCGCGATTATTTAACTTCCTGGCCTATGGACTAAAAAAATGTTGCTTTCAAGTATTGCAAGCAACTAAATTATTACTTGAAAAAGCATCTTGCTCAATATTTACTTGAATGTTTCAAAGAAGTAATTATAGTAGTTTTCCATGATCATATGAATTGCTAAATTGTCGTGGAAGACTATATGAATGCAATGCAAGCAGAATGCAAAAAATTAAGCATAGTTATGTAGATATGATATGTGGAATTTCCACCAATAAATTTTTCAACGTGCCCTCTCCGTTTTGAGCTGGTTACGCCCTTGCCTCTAAACCACATCACGAATGGACATCATAGTCCATGTAGCAGTACTCGAGACATCTAAAGAGTATTTAAATATATAAAGTAAACCACCTAAATAAAATTATACTTTTAATGGCTGAAATAGATTGTTCACATTGAACGAGAACTCATTCAATTTCTCTGTATTTTCGCCGAAGTATAATTTTTATTTTGGACATCAAATAAAACCTTACATTTCATGTAAATGTTAGAGAATATAGGTTATTTCCTTACACATGAAGGAATCCCAACCGTTATGACAGAACAGGGTCATATTCTAAAGAGTATGGAAAAAACTAATAACGCTGGCGACGAAATTATACATTTCAATTTTGCACAGCCAGTTTTGCCACTTCTCATTCGTAGAAAAGGGTGAAATTGTTAAGGATATAAGAAAGATAAATATTGAGATTTTCTGTTGGAATCAAATTTTTATGCGATCCGCTTTGATGCAGCCTGTAGAGCAAGGGTACTCCGTTTCTTTTAAAACCGCAATGAAGTCAGACTAGTTAATGAATTAGAATGCGTAAACAGATATGTGACCCTTTAACTAAAATGAGCAGTATTGGAATAAGCTCATATCACTCTATATCAGACAGCAGCGGTGTCCGCAGTGGTAGAGTAGACTCTTTCGGTCTCCTGATTAGTAGGCGTGCGCTGTATGGGTTCGAATCCCGTCCCAAGAGAACCTTTTCGCTTGGCTATGGATGTTGAGATTTTCCGTAGGTAGTAGATAGTCTCTGGCTGTCGAACGCGGAGGTACCACCCGGCGGATCTCGTAGGCGGAGACAGAATGTGTGCATGTTGCATGCACACGTGTTCCCTCGCCAGAGTCCGTGTGGCGTCTCCCCTTTCTCCTATATCCCCCTACAGCGTCACGCTACCCCATGAGTGTTTAAGCCTTAGGCCTTCGTGGGTAGTTGGAGTATAAAAAATAGAAAAAGAAATATAAATAAAAATAAATTACAAAATCGACAAACTGTGAAGCTCACTTCTTAGTAAGGACAGAACAATAGAACATCTCAAGCAACTGATTGAAAAGTTGACATGCAAAACAAAAGTTGTCGAAAGCGATACACAGGCCGACAATATCTTATCGAGGCAGGTTCATGCGCAGGCTCAGGATACTTCGCAAAGGAATATACCTCTATCTAATCTCGAAAACAGGATATCCTCAGGGGAATCTTTACATCTTTCACCGCAGCCAAGCCCTGCTGAGAATAAGAGCACACTTACTGACATATCTGATCTTGGAGTGGAGTTGCTCAATGACGTTATTAGGGAGGAAACCCGTGTTGAGCGACAAATTGTTCCAGTAGAGGGCAATGGAGGAGTTCTCTGTAGACCAATTCAAATTCTAATATTCGGTGACGAATATGCAGGAAACTTTTGGAGGTACTAAAATTGTATATAGATAAGTCTAAAGTTTCAATAGAATCGTCGGTAAGACCTAATTGTGAATTCCTAACGGCAACCAAAGATGTTCTCTCAAACTGAGTGACATGTGGAAGTAATGATTATGTGATATTTATGTAAATAAATAATCTGATACCCCTGGGGCGTACCACTAATTTAATATTTCTATATAAATTAAATTTTACTCTGACAAAAATATCGTGAACATGGTAAACTCAAAACTTGACGCATTGAAAAAAATAACAGAAACACTTCATATGCTGAATGTACGATTAACGGGCTACTGGCTCTAATCAAGTTATTTCCTGGTATATCAGTAATATTATTAAAAGTGATTTCGATAGTAATATTGTTTTAAAAACTATTGAGTTTAATACAGCGCATGATAAAAACCAGTTTTTTCTTAAGCTCTAATATCAATAAAGTAAAGATTGTAGCGTTGCTGACGAAGACATGGATAAACTTCTTCATCTTAATGTACAAAGCTTACGTCATAATGAGGCTCACAGTCTCTTCTTCGATCTAACTAAAGACTTTGGTTGTGTGCAGCATGAGATACTACTGTCCAAGCTTCCTTTTTAATCCATGTTTCTAACCAGTGTGCAACTTCTAAAGTCTTTCCTATCTGAAAGAATTCAAAAGTTGCAGATCTACTGTCACCCCAATTATGCGTGGTGTTCCTCAAGGATCTGTACTTGGACCATTGTTAGTCTTATTATACATCAATGAGATACAGAATTGTTTTAGTAACGGTACTAGTAGCAAACGATTCCTATGTGCCGACGACACTAGTCTTCTTTTAACTCACAACACCTTAGAAAGCCTAGACAATGAATCATCGCATGCAGGGAGACATTCAAAGTTGCTTTGTTATTAATGGGCTGCCTTTAAATGAAAACAAAACTCAGACAATGAGTATATCTCTTCGGAATTTTACCACAAATGATGACAACGCAAGTTTCTCGGGGTGTACGTAGATTCTTCTCCGAGTTGCGACGAGCATGTACATCATGCTACAAAAGCTATTTATCTGATACGTAATCTGAGAAATTCAGTGTCTCAGAAAACAGTGCTCATCAGTTATCATGCCTGTAGAATCACTTACGCCATTCAGGCATGGGGTCATTCTTCACACATGCTTACAGATAAGATATGTTACATGGCAAATTTGAGGTACAGGGATCCTTGCAGGAATGAATTCATGAAATTGAATGTCACTGACTTGCGTATACGAGAACGTCTATGCTTGCCTCATGCATGGTAAAACTCACTCTCACAATTACGCAACACACCAAGATACAACACCAGAAACAAAGACCAATTGTGTCCAAATCGTCATCGCCTTTCCAGAACTAGAAATGGTGTTAGCTACCACGGGTTACAATTCTACAACCTATTGCCAAATCAAATAAAATCTCTCGATGTTAAACAATTAACTCCAATTTTTCAGCCTGGCATAATTTTTATTGTAATTAGTCTCTTTTATAATTTTTTGAGCAACTCTATCTATTAACTTTTTACCTTTTATTGCCATTTTTTATATCTTACTTCAGCTGACTTGGACAAACACATTTCTGGGTAACATCACCAATAAATTATTATTATTACTAAGTGTATTGCTACGGAATGTGAAATAAATTTTCATTTCGTACGATTATTATTGTTAGCATAGGCGCCATTTGGGGATCCGCTTGGGGGGTAAAATATTCTTGATAGAGTACCCGTTCTCAAAACATCTCTATAAAGAAATTATTTGTCTTCCCTCCGATCGAAGCACACCTAGGAACTCTGTACTGCTGGTTGACTAGACCGCATAGTGGTCTAGATGTCTAGAACACTCAAAAAGCTGGTAAAAAATACTTTTGTAGCATCCTCACGAAATTTGATGTAGAAAGATTTCTGAGGCAACTGCTGTTAAATAAAAACGGAAACTCAATATGGCATATCCAATATAGCGTCGGATCATTGAAATAAGTTGATATTATGATGCATGAGATGCCGAAACGCAGAAATATTATATTTCAACCATAATAAACAAGAGAATACGATATGACGATAGTACGCCATAAAAGCTTTATAAAAATTGATGTATGAAAAAACCAATCTGAGGTTAAATATGTATTTGAATAATTTTGAAGCTTTTACATTTTCATTGGCTCTTAATTTCATTTGTGCTGCATACATAATTTCTTGAGCTCGTAGTTCGAAAGTTTTTAATATTTTCGTTCTTCCAGAATTATCAGCGAAACTAGATTTTGGCCTTCAATGATTGACTTTCTTGGACTGACTTTCCTTGTATTTATTGCGCAGTTGTGCCAATATATGTATCTGATTAAGAGAAGGGCCTGTTTCGACTGACCTCCAGCCACTATTTTTGGAAACACATAGCCTTTCTTGTCCTGTTTGTTTAAAAATGTCAGCTTGCTATTTATGAAACTTTTTATCTAAACGCTTTTAGGGAAAACCATGCTGCATATTGAACAAATTACCATAATGTAAAGTTTAAGTCCGAATCTAAAAGTAATACAATGTAATATGACTAAGGGTCCACATGAGCTTGTATTATGGCTGGTTTGTATTGATTAAGGCCATATTTCTGACAAGTTTGTGAAAATATGGTTAAAGGTTTTATCTGGCACTACTTCAAGTTACACAAACATAATTAACCTCAATGGGTTGTTAAAAACCTTTATAAATAATAGTAACAGAAAAAGTGACAGAAAAGTAATCATGCATACAACAATCAGGACACATGTTTGTTATATATCATATGAAATATCTTCTTCTTTAGTAGAACCCATATTGAGATATATTGGATCTTTCAAAACTCGACTAGGTTGATAACGTAGAACGTCACCGATTTCGCCACAAAAAATTATTACAAATTACTTACCACAAACTTCACGTTTGATGATTTATCATAGCAAATGTAGTGTAAGCAAGGTTTTGTTTAGAAAAATTTCATCCATTTGCATTACTTTATTTTTTAACTTTCTTGGTGTTCTAGATAACTGTGGGCCGGTAAAACTAGCCCAGCCCTCTCGTGGGCGCCCATGATTTTAAGGTTCAATTTAATTAGTAGAGATGCTATTGAAGCGTTATACATAAACTTAATACTCACCTATGAATATTGAAGTATATCGGCAGAGACATGATCCCCTCCACTCACTATACCCGTTCGTCCAAAACCATTAAACTTCACCACAACACCAACTGTCAATCAATTATGTCATTACCACCCACCCGTGCACTTTTCTAACCGCGCCGCGCTCCCAACAATATGCACCGCACAGCTGTAACCCGGCCACTATACGCCCCTTATCTAAGCCCGCTGGAGCAAAAAGAAAAAATGCCTCTCGGCATCTGTAAACATGTGTTATCGCGTTGGCCTGTCGCAAATATAGCACTCGGGGCCTTCCAGCGATCTCTGCTCTATTATGAGAATAAAGGCTTTGATGCGGTTGCATTATGACGTCACACAATTCAAACTTGAGTGAACATGGTGTGATTCCGGTGGAACTCACCCAGCTTACCAACCCGTTTATTATTTTAAGGGCCACTCAAAGTTGTGGATGCTAGAGACGCTAAAAAATAATCGATTAATCGCTAATTTTTAATGAATCGATTATATTCTAATCGAGTTTGTAAACAGCGCGTTCTATACGACAGATGCGGTCCGGAAAGCGCGAAACCGTATTTTATGAAAAATATTGCCAAAACTCAAACTCCTAACTGCAGATTTAGGTCAATTTTTGAAAATGATAGTACCAGCACCTACCGCAACCGACAGCTTTGACTAAAAAGAAGGATAATAAGTAATCCTCTTAATGGGCAAGGATTATATATGAGGGTCCAAAATCACACATCTTTCAAATAAAAATAGCAATGTGCTGTAATACGGCCTTGTGCATGAAATTTCATAGGCCTTTCAGTCCGATCTTATTTGGTACTAAGGGTGTTAGGATGAATTTAGCAAAAAGAGTCTGCTCAGCCATACACCTCCATTTAAAGGTAAGTTCTTTGATTTAGGTAATCTTTATATTACTAAGGGCATGAAATTCGAATATAACGTGCTTTATAGTTTCTTCCATTTACACGGATACAATCTCAGCTCTTTTTACTTCCCATGCCTACTGGCGGCGAAGTATCGTAAAAGCGAAATTTTTCGAAAATGAGATATTGTTTTTTTGGATGTTATATGATCTACATCACGAAAAAACAAGTCATTAAATTTCTGTCTGTCGGTTTGTCAACTAATCTTATATCTTGAGAAGTACTGCCCGGATTTTGATGACATTTTCTGCTTTTGTTTCCATACATATCGTTTCTTATTTTACTTATAGTCATATGTTAATTGGCACTGAGACTGAAGACTAATTTGTGGCTTTATTTATACTCATTGACATGAGAAGTGTTACACCCAGAAAGACTAATTTTTAACAACTTGTTTTTTTTTGGCAACATAATGGCTATATTTAAAGCATGCTGTGGCGCAATGTCAACGTTTTATCCTTGTTTTTCTTTACCTTTTTTAAAATGTTATCTCTTAGTTGTTTTGAAAAATGCAGTTCCTGAGAGCTTAATAGTACAGATATTTTTAGTTATTGCCCTTTCATTTACTAGTGTTAAGCATAAAAAAATGCCTCTAGTTCGAAGACGTCCAAATTTATCTCCATGTTGGCGACTTTGGCGGGGGTCGAATTATTGCCTATCGAGAAGTTGGTTTGTCCTATCGCAAAATTGTACTTCAATTGCAGTAATGCGTGTGTGTCTTGTGTAGATAGAAGATAGAGAAACACGAAGGAGGCCAACTGGTCCACCGAGGCGTACTACAGAGCGTCAAGATAGGCGCATCAGACAACTAGCCCTATGAGACCGTTTTGCTACTACTCGTCAGTTCGCTGACCAATGGTTTGGAGAAGAACGTAGACCTGTTACTATGCGTACACTCTATCGGTGCATTCGAGCCTTTGGACTTTTTTCATACCGTCCACGGCTAGTGTTTCCTCTGACTGTGGACCACTGTCGTCAACGTTTAAACTGGAGCAGAGAGCGGCAACATTGGGAAGCAGAATGGCATAATGTCAACTTCAGCGACGATTCTCGATTCTGTCTAGGTACGCACGATGGTCGCCGTGGAGAACGGCGTGATATTGGATTTGCTAATGAGAGGCATGTACACGGGACTGTTGGAGTAATGGTTTGGGGGGCTATTGCCTATGGTAGCCGATCACTACTTCCCTTTGTGCAAGGCAACATGACTGCTGCGCGTTATGGTGATGATGTCCTACAAACCACTTTACTACCGTAGAAGAAGTACAAGAAGCAGGAGTTAATGTTTTGCCATGGATTCAAGTCCCATCGAACATGTATGGGATATGATTGGGATGATGTCCTACAAACCACTTTACTGCTGTATCTAGACGGCCGTCCACACGTCCTTTTTTAGCAAGATAACGCACGTCCCCATATTGCGCGTCGTACTACGGACTTTTTTCAAAAAGCAGGCGATAATGTTAATGATAATGCTAATTTTTTAACATGAGCTGGAAGTATCAAGTAAAATATATTCAGATCAACGAATTCAGATCAATTAGGAGCCGGTCAAGGATTTGTTTATCTCCTAATTCTCATGGTGCACTTGACATAACTGAATGTTTTGATATAATTCGCAAAGAGCACCAGCCTAATGAATATAGATGTTTCCACCAGTAAGTATTATTCATGATTGATTTGAAATTGATACCTTTGGTAGGCATTGGTAGTCAAAAGTATGCGCTAAAGCTAGGCAATTTTGGCGACAAACAATGGAATGTAAGTTATAGGCTTGGCTCCTTCTAGTCAATTCAAGTTTGTTGATTCGGATGGCTTAAGTAGTCAAAATCGTCAAATTTTCAATGTTCTTTCAAGTGCTTTGGGAAATCCTTACATTGGGTTTTGGAATCCCTTCTGTCAAGACCTTCTTGAAACAACGAGTAGTAGTAGTATTTATTTTGCCGAATATACATGAAATGTATATAATCACGTCAAAGGGTTCACAATAAAGTCTAAATACATCGTATCACAAATAACTGGTAACAATTGATATACTCATATTTTGACACATAAAAAGTAAAGATACGCACAATAAAAAAATCTAAAAATGTATACAGGGTGTTTCAAGTCCGACCCTCACCACTGGGATCTCGGAAACTGTAAGAGAAACGGAGTCGCGCAAATGGTAGCAAATGCGCAATCAAATTCAAAGAGCTTCCGGAGACGGAAAAAAGGAATTTTCTCAAAATGGTTTCATTTTTTCCTGATCTTATTTGGAGTGGGATTTCAAAATAAATTGCACATTAACATTGTCACTTTTTATTCTCTACAAAAAGGTATAATCAGAATGTCATCGAGCATGAACTTTATTTTTTCTTATAGACGCCATACTGGATTTTTTCGCAGATGAATAGAGTTTTTAATATTCTGATTGCAAAAATGTATAAGATGTCATACATTGACATTACTAAACCTTAGTTATTCTAGAAAAACAAGTTTCGACGTAGACCTTGAAGTTATCGAATTTCCGTCTACCAGACCAGACCTCAAATTGAACATAGCAGCAGAGTTTGGAAGACTGAGAAGAAGAGAAATAAATCGAGCAGTGAACAATGTACAGAGAAGAGTTAGGCTTTGCTTATTAACGGTCAACATTTTCAACATCTTCTATGACTTACCTGTGCTTGATTATGATTATTATTACTATTACCATCGATAAAATCTTCATATTGTGTTCAGGTTTCACTATATCTTTTTGTTTCCTTATAATTTTCATCCAACAATAAATTCATGAATAACTAAGGAAATACTGAATTTAGGACTGAAAAACTAAATGTACATCTTCAATATAGCGTTCATATGAAAACACAAAGTGGGTGATGGAAGTAGAAAGAAGGAACGTCGAATAAAAAATTTGACTACACCATTTTGTAGAGGAGAATAAGTAACAATAACAACATGCAATTTATTTTGAAATTCTATCCCAAATAAAGTCAGGAAAAAATAAAGGTGATTTTGGGACAAATCTGGTACTTATACGGATAATTTCAAGGCCTACCTAGGAAATTCTGCTTTTTTATATAAGGTTTGGTAATGTCAATGAATGACCTATTTTACATTTTTAAAATAAAAATTAATTCATCACTGCAAAAATCCAATCCGGCGACCATACAAAAAAATAAAGTTGATGCTGAAGGACAAGAGACGAAAAATCATATTAAAATTCTAATCATACCTCCTTGTAGAGGAGAAAAAGTGGCAATGGTAATGTGCAATTTATTTTGAAATCCTACTACAAATAAAGCTAGGAAAAAATTGAAACGATCTTAGGAAAAAAAATGTTGTCTCTTGAGCTTCGAAACTTTCTAACCGGATTTTGTTAGTTACCTAAATTTACAACTTTGCCCTCATTTAAGCGACTCCGTATCTCTTACAGTTTCCGAGACCCCAATGGTGAGGGTCGAATTTGAACCCTGTAGAATAGCACAACAGATAAATAATAAGTAAGTTAGGCACAAATTGAATAAAGATTGAAAAAACACGTCTAGTTTTACATTATAACTATTCGTGGATACTCCATTACAAGAGACTACCATTTTTCTATTTGTCAAGTAGGATTTCAGCTATAGCACCTTATTAGACGGAAATTTGTGGGCTTCCGTTTTATTCACCACATAAGGGGGTCAACCGAACCATGTTATGTCAAAAATGGCGTCAAGTTGCAGTTCCCACGCAACGTCCTTATCTTTACATTATGGAACATGTTAAGCACAGACTAGACCCCCTGAGAAAAAAGTCAGTCAAACGGGTCCAGACAATTAGCCCATAGACATTCTTTCTCTCCTTTACCGTTAGTGCATCTGGAAACATCGCCTCTCCCCAAAACCTAAGTCAGTCAGACGTGTCACCGCCGGCGTGGTAGTGCTACCAGAGCAAAGAAAACACTATGATGTTGCTCGGCAGAAATACGTGTGATTTCATAACAGAACATACATCACGGTCGGCGCATGATGCCAGCAGCAACCGCGGCTGATAGTTACGCGATCCGTCTCCCGAGAATATTAGTATTCTTCAGTTTTCAGAGCTAATGTACAGAGAAATCTATGATGTTTGAAATATGTCTAA